CTTTTTTAAAAAAGAAAAATTAGAGCAATTAATTAAATCTATTTCAGATCTCACTTCAAATATGTCAAATAATGTAGATTTGGTAGTTCAATTACAAAAATATCAAGAAGAGTTAGATGAAATATACAAAGAAAAAGCCCGTGGTGCTTTCATTCGGTCTAGATTAAAATGGATTGAGGAACACTTAAGTTTGGAACGGWTATCAGAGAGATGAAGTTTCATAATTATTTGTCTCTGATTGACTAATCAACCTGGAAAGACCTCATTTCCAATGATTCTAAAGATGTTCACGTCCTTACGTGGTGACGTCACCTTGTTGCTTTTCAGCCCGGAAGTGGAGGACATAGCAGCAGCAGGAGCAGGACGGCTAAACGACGATGCTTGACTGCAAGGTGAGACCAGGCTGAATAGAACCACTTTATTCTTACGTGAAGGTGGATAAACGCTCCGGTCTTTCGTCGCCGTCAAACATTTAAAGGAAAACGACGAAAGTCTGAGTTGAAAAGCTACCCCGTTAGCTCATCAGCTAGTTTTAGCCTAAATAAATGCACTAACTTACGTTTTTGGTTGTGTGGTTTTCTTGACAAGACAAAACGTGGCCTTGGAAGAATCCTAATATTAAGTGATTATTACATTACTACTTTATTATCGCACCTGGCTAAAGATAACGCTTGTTTACCCCCAGAAACACATTTGTTATGCTGGAACTGACCCACTTTTGTATTGCTGCATGGATCCCCTTTACTATTGTCAATAATTCTGTTTATCTATTATATATTCTAGTCATTTAGAGTGGGTAAATATACAATAATATGGTGCTGAAAGGGTGTAAGACGTAATTAGTGTCCTGACAGCAGCCGGTAGTGTGTACCTGCCTGATGGACTAACAGGGTTAGATCTGATTTTATTCTGTCTTTTTGCTATAAGACGTCTCTGGTAATATTCAGAAACAGTATACAGGACATTTACTCAAATATTTCTTGAACATCTTATTCAGATCAACTCCTGACAGGTACACACAGAGAGGAAAAATAAGTGAATGTTTAACTACAGGTGAAGAATATCTAGTCTTCTGTTGGATTGTTTATCTGAAAATCTGCTGTGTCGTATGCTGTCAAGATAACAAAGAAGTACTTCCTGTTTTGTTTATGAAATTATGACGTAATGAAAACATCTGGACCGTGTCAGGTTTTAAAATGAGTTAAATACAACCTCAGCTGAATGCCAATACACGACGTGTTAATTGCACAAGTGAACACCTGTATAAAAAATAAAAGTTTGGGCACTTTGCTGCACAACAGGTTTGTGTTAACATTAACAAGGAAAGACATGAGCTGTTAAAGGTGGCACTTTTCTTGCTGATGAGAAATGACAGAATTAGCTGTTTTAGAGAAACTAACATCATTGTTGAGGTCACGCTTAGTTGTGTGTTGTGAAGGATTTGTATTACACCAAATTTAATCTCTTTAGCAGTCAGTTAGATATTTTTTCTTTTGTGAGTTCAGTTGGCTGCACGAGTCAGCTGGAATTGTTTGCTCTAAAATTTAATCTGTTGAAAATTTTACATTAATTTGTTACTTTTTACTAGTTTTTATTGAAATTTGTGAATGGACATGGACAAAAACATTGTTGGCCCTCACCTTCCAGTGTCCTTTAATCAAGTGTTGCTGCCCATCAGAAGTTATGAGGCTATTTCTAGTCTGTTCGAAGTCCATTCTACAGAGTTCAGGTTGTGTAGATGTTGGAGAAATATCTATCTCATATCGTACAAGTTTTGGTTGTTAAAGCTAAATGTTATTACAGGGCAGTTAGGAAAAGACTGAGCAATCTGATATAAAAAAATAAAAGGAACAAACAAAACAATGGCACAGCTTAGGTTTGCAAAGTTAAATATGAACATCTACTGCTTTGTGTGTGTTTGCAATATGTTATAAAACATTTGCCAAAATATTCTTGTGAGTTTGCTTGCTGTGGGGACCCCCTGCAGAGGGGAGCACCTGAAAGAAAAACGACACAATCCTGTACAGTACTGTCAGCAGTGGTGGCTGACTGATGATTTAATCTGCAACCAGAGAAGCAGGAGACCTTATAGTAACATCTGAAGCTTGGCTCAAATGCAACAGGACAGTGTTTGAAACAGAGCAGCACCTCTACAGCAGAATGACTCAAAGCCTGAATAAAATTATGTGGTAGGGTTTTATTGAAGCTGTATATAAACTAAAATTTATAAATCTTTAACTGAAACATCGCCAAAAAAAGGGCCAATATTCCTCCAGTGATGCRGGACTCAGGAGAGTCAAAATATCAAAGGACAAACAGTTGAAGTTATTGCTGCTAAAAGTGATTCAATAGATGTTACATTATGAAATGGATTTAATTTTTCATGTGTTGGCTTTGTGCTATGATATTTAAATAAATAATAACACATTGTAAAATCTAGGGCTGCACGATATTAGAGGATCTTAGAATGGCGATAATATTTGTAAATAATGCGATGACAATATCAGATGCTAGTGCTGGGCAGTATACCGTTTTGTACCGAATACCGGTTTTTATTTTTGTTATGATATGAATTTTTTGAAAACCGGACATTCCGRTTTAAATAGCGGAACGTTTCGTCACGGCCGCCAGTGAAGTGTTGTTTCCCGGGGGGACATTTTTCCTTGCTGCACCGCTATGTGCGTTAGCATGCTAATGTTTGGAGCAGCTAGTTGCAGCAGCGGGTGGCGATTCCGCGGATTATATTGACCGATGTTTAAAAAAAACATCCAGTTTTCGCCATCGCTGAATGTAGTAAACACATCTTCAGTGACGTGCACAGTTAGATTTAACGTGGTTAGTTAATATGGAGACGTTATGCTGATGGAGACTTAACGTGCTTCTATTGTGAAAAGCCTGTGGGGAGTAGTTCATAGTGAAGTTAGAATTGACTGGTGTACAAGGTGAGTCGTGCTGATAAGCTTTAGTAAATAACATAAAATAAAACCGATCATAATCTTTTCTTAACCCTCCTCCTTCACGACTGGACCAAAATRYRTRACTACTGTCTCCAACCACCAGTCAGAGAAGAACAGACACAGAGGAGGGAAACAGHGACACAGACAGAGGTACAGTAAAAGAAAAAAGTCAATAAGCAGGGTTTGTACATTTTATTATCAGCTGAGCTGTGATGAAAAGAAAAATACTGTCAAATACAGTGAAACTGGTGAAAATGTTGAAAATACTGTGATGTAAAATTTTGATCATATCGCCCAGCTCTATCAGATGCAATATATTCCTCCCTTTATATTCTGTACCTCCTACTCTATGTGACCTTTAGCATTTTTGGCAGTGTTATTTGTGTCTGAAGTGAGCTTTTGCTGCCGTGAGACTCAGTCCTACATGCTATATATTTTTCTTTATTATTATTATTATTATTATTATTATTATTATTATTATTATTATTATATTATTATTATTATTATTTTGCCACTTCAGTAGAAACCTCATCATTTAATTTCTTCATCATCAGTGACTTTGTAGGTTTTTGTACTTGCTAAATATWGCATTTGCATGAAAAATACTACTTCAAACCTTTCAAATAGTCAACAATTATTGCACTCCAAGCTGTCCTTTGCGATGTGAATATTGCCCACACTGATAATGCAAAAAGGATGTTTTCATGATACATTGTGCAGTCCTAGTAAACCGACTTGTCATGTTGTTTATATGAGATTATATTTAACTCATTTTTGAAACTTCTAGGACAAGATTTTCATTGTGTTMTAATGTCCTGAWGCATCTCAGACCTACTTATTTTTTCTTTTTCATTGGGTCCTAATATTTGTACTCTTTAATAATAAAAGTCACATATAGATATTTACATCAGTCTTATTTTCAAAACAAGCAACCACATTGAAAAAGAGCTTGTAACAACAACTATTAATAATTTTTGTAAATGGAAAGCTTAAAATAACTTCTCTAAACTTGAAGCTAAAATGTTGGTGTTTGGACTTGATAGCCTGATTTATGAACAGTTCAGTTGACTTCATGTTAGATCTGCTGTYTATGTTTTCATCTGATTCAAAACATATTGAGTCATTTATATATAAGGACAAAATGTTTTAAATCCTTGTTGAAGGTTAGAGGACCCGTGCTAACCTGAGATTTGTTTCTAACCAGCATGAGTGGTGATTGAGGCCTGACGTTGCCGTGGCTCCGGTGGCAGAAACAGGCATCCAGCTTGGATGAAGAATGAAGAGCCCGGTGCACAGGTGCAGGGATGTGGAGCACGGCCGTGGGCAGACTGAGACCGGGGCCGGGTCTGGGTCCAAAAGCCTACAGCATGAACAGCGCATCCCTGTCTCCAAAGACGTCATCACCTCCTCCTCTTCCTCCGCCATGTGGTTTATCAGGGACACCTGTGGCATCGTGTGCGCCATCATCACATGGCTGCTGGTGTTTTACGCTGACTTTGTTGTGCTGTTTGTAATGCTGCTACCCTCCAAAAACCTCATGTACAGCATTGTGAACGGGACTCTGTTCAACACTCTGGCCTTTCTTGCTCTCGCCTCACACCTCAGGGCTATGTGCACCGACCCTGTAAGTACATTTACCTTTCAGTACCATACAGACCACTTTGACTTTCTGTAGGTTTGGTTTATCTAAATAAAATTCCATTAAACCTTCCATCTTGCTTCTGCCAACTCTTGCCGTTATGATGATTAATGATTTGCGCTTAAACTGATGCTCTATAGTATCTGTTTTCTCAAAGGGGGCAGTGCCAAAAGGGAATGCTACAAAGGAATACATAGAAAGCCTTCAGCTGAAACCAGGACAGGTGGTCTACAAGTGTCCMAAGTGCTGCAGCATCAAGCCTGACCGAGCACACCACTGCAGGTAAGACCAAAGGGACATGGATCCTTCACTGCAGCACCATGGCATTCATACACCTAACCCTGCTCCTTTGCTGTGCATTCAGGCTGTTGAAATGAAGTTAAATAGAAGCAGCTCTGCTTAGTTACTTCACTTTTTATTGTGGTTCTTTGTGCAAATTCATGGAAAGTTTCATGACGTTTCAGTTTTTTTTATTTAAAGGGATCCTTGATTAGCTGTAACATTAAACTTTATTTGTTAAACATTTATTTTAACTGTAAAATAAAGAC